AATCTTACACTACTAAATTGGGGACGGCTAGCGCAGATAGCCCTCGTGTAGCTTTGCGTGAAATTCAAAAAACAAACAAACAAACACTTGGCATCGTCAATCAAAAACCTATCGATAAAAACAAGAAACCCCGAGCTCAACATTCATCGATCTACGAAAAATATGGAAAAACACAGCTCTCCTCCTCAAGTATTTTCTAGATTTAGAATTATTTAACATCCATGTGGATGTAGTTACCGAAACGTTAACACATGAGGCCATGATGTTCGTTTATTTTGCTGTGAAGCACAAAGTTATAGCTTTAGAATATAGAATATTTCATTTGTTTTGAGTTACAAAAACTAATGTTGTCAATATTTTTGTTAGAATGTTTCTGCAAATTGAAGAACCGAGGCGTTGCCCGTTCGTCGAAAACTTTCAAAATGTAAAACTGAAAGCGTGTTTCACTTACGTGAACCATTAAGTCAGTTGTCGATGTAAGAGAATCATCTCACCATATGGCCTTTAGGGGTGAGGGGTGGTTGGAACCTACCACAAGGAGAGAGGTTCCTTAGTTTGGCCATATGGTTGAAATTTAAGCGGAAGTTCGAAGTTTCCTTGTAAACAGTAATAGTCCTGGAAGATAAAGGGGCCGCCAGATAAGATTACTGGAATCGCTCTCTCTGACATGTTCTAGAGAGAAGCGTTATTCCTAATACTAGGCATTCTAAGACATATGGACGATATAATATTATATAGGATGTTATATAAATAATTGTGAAACGGTGTACGAAGTTTGGTGGTGATGTGCTGAGGTAAGCCTAAATGTGATCAAGACCTTGTTACATCTAAATTTTTACAATAATTTCTATATTCACTGAATTACGGTGTCCGGTCGGAAAAAGATGAAGAAACGCTGTTACTATTAGGTGTATTGTTATATTCGGACAGAGCACAAGATCAGAATGTTATCATTTCATCAAAGTGTTGTTAATTCATTACTGTAAACCAGGGATCAAAGACAAAGACAGGACCTGTCACTGTGAATTTCAAACTGAGAAAAAGAAAGAACTTGAGGACAATTTAGCACTGTTCTTGTACCAAAAATAACGTAGAACAAGCATAAATTGGGCGGTTTTGTTTACAAAGCAAAGAATATTTTTCTTTTTTATTACAAATTAAGTTATTAGATAGTTGAATGTTGGTTGAAATACTAAACTTTTCAAGATATTCTTCGTTACTATAATAACTGTAACTCGTAATGAAATAATACTTGTAATTTGTAAGTAAACTCAAAATGAAACTATGCTCATCTGTCACTATCACAACCACGATAACATTCCTGTTTCCAGTACTCTTTACGTAAATCTGTACATATTGTCTCTGTACTGATGACACTGTAGAAAGTATATTTTTTAAGTATACAAACAATACAACACTGTGTACAAACATGGAAGTTGAGTATCGCGTAACGTTTTGTTCTTTAGTTTTCATTTCCGTTACTGAAAAACAACATTATAACTCAACAATCACAGGCCCGTTTACAATTTATAATATAGATAACTAATGTATAAGGTTTATTTGTTGATTACAATTATCTGTGCTAGCCGTCCCTAATTTTGAACTGTCAGACTAGAGTAAGGATGGCACGATACAGCGTTAGAATACGAGTATCGTATCATGTTTGCTTGTTTTTAATTATGCACAAAGCCAGAAAAGGGCTATCTGTGCTCTGCCCACCACGGGTATCGAAACCCGGTTTCTAGCGTTGTAAGTCCGCAGA